CTCTATCAAACTTCAGTTTCTCTTTGCTGGACATTGTCTTCCACCTCTCAGGGCACTTTTTGGAAAACTGCAAAATCGACTGGAACCTCTGAAGTTTTTCTTCTCATGTTCTTCTCTGCATATGTACAGAAAGAGGGCACAAGCAGACATCTTGCCCTTTGGTTTCTTGGGGTCACCTTTAGCCATCCTGACTATATTTAGTTCTCTAGTCTCACTAGATGTTTCTTAAGTGTCCAGGCTGTACAAACAAGACTGCTTGAGTGTGTGTGTGCTGGGGGAGGGGCAGGTAAATAAGTCAGTGACTGTCCCACGTACCAGTAGGGGTAGCCTGGGAAAAAAAGCAACTGGATGTCTTTGATGTCACCACCCTAAGAAAACAAGAAGATTAAAATACTCAACTATCTGTCATCTGATGTGGGCCAAATTAACACTGGATTAAGTGTACTAATCTGCAAAAAACCAGGGTTGGACGACAGCTTTCTATTTCTCTTCTTCCTTCTTGGGACCTTAGAATCCTCACTCATTTAACTTTCAAAGTAAGAACAGTAAATAGCTTGGCTAGTTAGATGCTGGGGCCATGGAGGGAGAGAATGAGAACAAGAACAAATGGAAGAAGTTAGACTAAAGATCCCCCAAAAAGAAAGAGCAGGGGAATTGTTTTTTTTTTTCAAGTTCAAGCACACACAGAGAGAATGCAACCATATTTACCATGGGCTGGGCTTGAGGCCAGAGAGCCATGAAGGGTCGGGGAGGGGAAGGCTCTGTTAAGTTAGAACCGGGAAGGAAAGGTAGAAAAGAGGAACCAAATGCATATCACAACCCCCCTTCCTCTGCCCCTGGAGCTGGGCAGTTTCAGAGGAACTCTACAGAGGCCCATGAGCCCACCACCCACAAACCCGTTCCAAGCCCCAACTTGGAGACCCTCCTTTGAATCCAAGAACTGGCCCCCACCACTACCTCTCCACAGAGGAACCCCACTGGAGTACAAAAGGCTCCCCAAATTAAAAGGGTTGGGGAGGGAGCACAAACTGGAATCAGTCTGGAGCGGGTGAAGGATGGGAGAAGTTAGGGGGAAGAGTAAATACCATCAAAGTACACTGGATGCCTGAATGAAATTCTCAAAAATAAAAATATTCTACAAGTGTGAGATTTCTATTGAAAGGTACAACTTGGGGTTTTCTCAAAGCATGGGGGGGGAGCTGCCTTTTGCTTTGTAGGTCTTGTTTTGAGACAGTATCTCCCCATTAGTCCAGACTCAAATTCAGGATCCTCCTGCTCAGCCTCCTGAGTGATGGAATTACAAGTGTATGCCATAATGCCAATACGGGCAGACCCACCTTTAATGGGCAAATGCTGGGGCTTGTACCTTATCTGCTATTGAGGGCTGACTATAGCATCTTACAGTGTATAGATCCTGTGTTTTGGTTTAAACACACTTCAAAGTATGCATGGGAAACTTCTCACAGGACTGTGGTAGGTTTAGTTTAAATCAGGAAATGGGGCAATAGGGGAGGTCAGAGCTGGTTGACCAGATGACCCTCAGGCCAGGAACAAACTAGGAAACCTCTAGAAGAGCAGCCATAGCAGGCGAGGCAGAAAGAACTCTCAAGCAGAGACTAGGTCTTCATTCTGTCTCCTGCAGAGGCCAAGAGATGCTGAGATGCGTTCAGCAGTAGAGAAAATGAGGGGCAGTGGCCACAGAAGATGCAGCCACGCCACAGCTTCTGTTGCCACGGTGTCAGAGCACCTAGAGCTGGAGGCTGTAGAGACGTCTACTTTGTTTCCTGAAACAACTTTATGCTTAGAGAACAATATAAAGAGTTCTCGTCTATCCTTCCCCCAGATATCCCCCATGGTTACCATGTGCGCTGCTGCTCTGTTAGGATATAAGATGCATAATTTATTGAAACACCTGAAAGCAAGTTGGAGGCATCGTGACACCCTAGAAACAAAGGCATTCCTTACATAAGTACAGTATAATGGTCAATGTCAGAACATGAACAGATTCTCAACTAGACTCTAATAGGAAGGCCCTGGGAAGATTCTTCTAGTAGTTCCAAGTGATAGCTTGTAAACAAAAACAGCAACAAAAATGTTTTCTTTTTCCTTTTCCAGGATACAGTCCAGGATCACATGTGAGGCCCAATTGTCAAGTCTCTTTGACTTTCTTTAATCTAAAACAGTTTTGTTCTCTTTTATAACCTTGACATTTTTTGAAAAGTACAGGCCAAGTGTTTTATAGACTGTTCCCTAGTTGGAGTGTGTCTGATGTTTCTTCACAATTAGATTCAAGTTATGCACGGGGCACAGAGTAGCACAGTGGGAGGCTACACTTTTCTCTCAGCATTTTCTCAGGAAGCTCATGGTGTTGAACTGGCCTGGTGCTGGTGACATCTCATGTGAACAGCTGGTTAAGGTGACATGAGTCAGAATCCACTCTCAAGTTGCTACCTTTATGAATTAATAAGTGACTAGATGGGAGATACCTAGTGTCTTAGTCACTTTTCTGTTGCTTTGAAGAGGCACCATGACCAAGGCAACTTATAAAGGAAAAAACAAAACAAAACAAAAAACACTTAATTGCTTACAGTTTCAGAAAGTGAGACCATGACCATCATTGTGGGAAGCATGGCAGCAAGCAGGCAGGCATGGTACTAGAGCAGTAGCTGAGAGCTTACATCCTTATCCTCAAGTTGAAAGCAGAGAGAAAGAAACTGAGCCTGGCATGGGCTTTTGAAATCTCCAAGAGTACTTCCCCTAGTGACATACCACCTCCACTAAGGCCACACCTCCTAATCCTTCCTAAACAGTTCCACCGGCTAAGGACTAAGCATGTATTCAAATATATGAGCCTGTGGGGGCCATTCTCATTCAAACCACCACACCCAGGAACTAAGTAAAGTTCCTGTTTTTTCATCAACTCTTCCTGTTTCAGTAGCCACTGAAATAGAATAGGATAAACGGTATGTCAGGTAAGGATACATTCACAATTCAAGGACACGGCTTGTCAGAGCACAGGAGGTGAAGATGAACTAGCATCTTGGTCTCCTACCAGATTTACTCCAAGGAACCTCAACTCATGCTTACTCTCAGTAAGAAAACTAGGCAGGAGCTGGAGAGATTGCTCAGTGGTTAAGAGCACTTGTTGCTCTTGTAGAGGGCTCTGGTTCAGTTTCTAGCACCCACATGGTGGCTCACAATCACCTATAATGCCAGTTCTAGGAGATCTGAGGCCCTCTTCTGGTTTCCGTGAGGACCAGGCATGCCCATGGTGAACATACATACATGCAGGCAAACACTCATACAATAGAATTTAAAATCAACAAAAGAAAGAAAACTTGGACTGAAGGGTATACTGTGTTACACTATAGCTTCCACGATGAGATTTTTTTTTTCTTTAAAATTTTATTTCATTTTGGTGGGGAGGTTGCAAGGGCAGAGGGTGGATACGAATGGATGGGGAGATAAGTGGGATCGGGATGCATGGTGTAAAATCCACAAAGAATGAATAAAAAGTTAAAAAGGAAGGAAGGAAGGAAGGAAGGAAGGAAGGAAGGAAGGAAGGAAACTTCATACCACTTAGATAGGCTATGGGACTATACTAATTGTTGCATGTTTGTTAGAGACTTCCTAAGAAGTCCAGGAACAGGAAGAGATGCAGGACCCAGGGAGTGAACACCAAGAGTCACACCAATGCCTGGTTTTTGTTTTTGTTTTAATGAGCAATGCCAAGGGGGCTCAGTCCATGATTCTGCCTCCCCCTCTGGCATGATGGTGGCTAGGGACTCTAATCTGCTTTATCCAGGAAGTATTTTTAAAATCTTTCTTAAAATCTTTTTTTATTCTTAATATCTTTTAAAAAATTATTCTTCCATTTTGACATTTCAGACTAGTGTGTGTGTGTGTGTGTGTGTGTGTGTGTGTGTGTGTGAGTATGCACATGCTCGTGCTTTCAAGAGGCCAGAGAAGGACATAAGGTGTCTCCCTCCATTGTTGTCTGTCTGTTACCAGACTGCAGGACACCCCGTTTTGATCAGGTACATGGCATCTGAACTCAAGTCCTCACACTGGCACAGCAATGACTATTCCCAAATGAGTCATCCCCCAGCCTTGAACTCTTGTTTTTACAAAGGCAAAAGCACCAGAGAATATTTGACAGTGGGAAGCAGATTAGCAAGCTGTCCTGCATTCCTGGGGCGCCCATTGCCAACGTTCTTATCGATCCTCTCAGCCTCTATCTCATGTGCATTTTATGTGAACAGGGTTGAGTTGTCTCTATTAACCTTCTTTGACTGAAATTCCACTAGGGCTGAATCACCACAACAAAGGGCTAGAGCGGCTAATTTTGTCAAGTGCCCCAAGGATGGCGAACAAGTAGAATCCTTACAGGAGCACAGGAGAGAAATTAATGTATCACACAGGCTGCCTCTGGGTATTAGGGCTTAAATTTCTCATATAACCTCAGTTGAGAAGGGCTGGTCCGCATGGGTATGGGATTTGTTTTGTTCTCTTAACAATTCTCCTACTCCTCATTATTAATTTTTTAATTTTGTAAATAATTTTTAAATCCCTGGGGTTCATGAACTACCATGTCCAGATTTAAAATTCTTTAAATAAACATTTAATAAGCAAATGTTACATACCAGGAACTGAGATTAGGGAAATAAACAGGGCATAATCCCTTCACTCTTTCAATGAATAATCAACCAGGAACTCCCCAAATATTCAAAGCACCAACAATGAGACAGTGTGGCTGATGGTTAAGGAGCCACAGGTCCAACACAGGAAATCAGGGAGGCCTCTGTTGGTTATTGGGCGGTGCTCATTTGGGCGGTGCTCTTACCTTGCGAGGAAACATCACAAAACACGACGGAATCCACTAACGAGAGTTTTATTAAGATCAGGTAAAGAGACAGAGGTGCACAGGCCTGTGGAAAAGACACGCGAGTAAAACATGGAGCTGGGAATATGGCCCGGCTTATAAAGGCTGGGCAGCGCCTGCGCACACAGGCCCATGTGGCTACTCCATGCGTGCAGATCACATGGCTGTGCTGTCTGCTTTACGCAACCACGCAAAGCCACGGGGTCCTGGTCACACGAGACGTTTTGACCCGGAAATGGCTAGGCAGAGGAAGTGCCTAGGTCCGCCGGGCATGCGCAACCATGCCCAACTGTGGGGGCGTGTCGTGAATCCATATCAGCCTCCCCGAGGAGGTGGTGAGTGAGTGGGTGGGTGGGTGCTCCAAGGGTGAGGAGGAGTTCAGAGCGTGTTCTAGATGGAAGAAGAACGTGCTGATTGCCAGAGGGGTGCTGAGGCTGGACACCAGGGCATCTATGGGACAGTGGCCATGGAAGTCAACTAAGTCAACTAAGAAGACACTAGGACATCCACTCGGCAGGCCAACCTCAGCAGGGCAAGGCTGGGGTACTGGGTGCCCAAGAGGTCACTGGGCGCATGGCTGTGAGGAGTGACGGAACTGCCGAGCCAAAGCCAGGAAGGCAAGAAGGGGGCCAAGCAGGGGCTTTCAGGGAGTAAGATGCTTCAGAACTTGGTGACTGAGCTGGGAGGAGCGTGCGAGAAGGTTCTGATGCTGGCATTAGCTCTCAAGACAATTCGGTGGCAAAAGTAGGGGCACGTCTCAGAGAGAAAGAGGACGGAGGGAGCAAGAGAGGATGCTGGGAGGAAAGCTGTCCATAGGCCTTCTTCCTTGCGGGTCCCCTTAACAAAGGCCTTACTTACGTGAGAGTCTCGGGTCGGGGAACCGACCTGACCACATTATCAGCCTCAAAGAATCTGCTATAGTAAAACAAGTCTGTGGCAATCCCTGCCTGTCCTAAACATAGCAAACTCCAGAAGCGAAGTTTTTAATGGAAGATTTCCCTATAAAAGGAAAAGATAAGTTGGTAGGCTTAATAAATCATACTTCATAGGAGAAAATGAAAGCCAGAAGAACAGACAGTTCGAAAAAACAACTGTGAGGCCAGCACAAATAAAGGGCCTTCCTTCCCTGCATGCTCGAGTACAATGGAACACAGAGGAGACAATGGGCGGGCACTCTATGATGCCACCATCCTGCGCCCCAGGAAGAAAGGTCAGGTTCTGAAGATGGTAAAGTAGGACCTTAACATTACCAAGCAGGACCTTAGATACACTCCGCGGGGAGCCGGGCTGATGGGGACAGGCGCTGGGTGGGGGTTTGCCAGGCAGCTCCGACATGAACCAATGCCAATCAAAACTGTGTTCATCCTGCAGGTGCAGAACACACCAGCTAAAGCCCGAATCAGGAAGCCGCACTAAGGTGAGTCCCAGGGCAGGGGTCCATGGGACCCAGTAACTGAAGAACAGAGGGGGATGAAGACAAACTGAGTCCAGGCCATGCTGAACTCAGATCACGCTGAGCATCTTCCTATTGCAGAAGCCAGCCATGCATACGTAAGTCTGTGGGAGCCATGACCAAAACACACAATGGCCTTTCACACCCCCATCACGCACCCTTTTGTTTTATTTACTTATTTTATTTTTTTGTTTTCCGACACGGGTCTCTCTACATAGCCCTGGCTATCCTGGAAATCACTATGTAGCCCAGGCTGGCCTTGAACTCACAGAGATCTGCCTGCCTCTGCCTCTAGATGACTAGGATTAAAGACATGCGCCACCATGCCTGGCAGGAACCCTTTTATCTTGAACAATTTTTTTTAAGCAAGATTTTCTTACTGTGGTATTTTGAAAGAAAATGGCCCAAGGAAGTGGCACTATTAGGAGGTGTGGCCTTGTTGGAGGAAGTGTGTCACGTGGGTGGGGGGTGGGCTTGGAGGTTTCAAATGCTCAAGCCAGGTCCAGTGTCTCTCTCTCCCTGCTAATCCAGATGCAGAATTCTCGGCTCCTTCTCCATGTCTGCCTGTGCACCACCATGCTTCCTGCCATGATGACAACAGACGAAAGCTCTGAAACTGTGAGGCAGCCCCAGAGAGATGTTTTCCTCACTCAGAGTTGCCATGGACACGACATCCCTTCACAGCAATAGAAGCCCTAACCAAGACACTTATGTTTGACAGTTTCGTACATAAATCAATTTTCGTCATTTTCATACCTGTTTTTCCTCCCTCCCTCTCCTGCTCTCCCTTCTTCTCAATAAATCTCCCCTCCACCTCCAGGTCCTCTTTGGTGTGCGGCTGGCTCACTGAGTTTAATTAGTGTTTCTTGCCCCAGCAAAGACAACTTACCAGTAGCGACACCACTGAAGAAAATGACAGCCCTTCTCCGACAACCTTTAATTACCAGCAGTCCCTCAGGGAGAGAATTTATCCCCCACCCAAGATAAAATGTTGAGGGGCCCAATCTCATTTGGCAAAAGGATTTAAGCCAGCGTTTGGGCAGGTTCCCAGACAGACACACCAGGTTTCAGTCACACATGGAGTCCATATCGGGACACACAGCAAGAAGTAACGGAGACGCAGCCTTTCCTTCAGAAGGTCTTACCATCCCACCTCAGAAACAACACAGAGCCAAGACGAAGAACAAACCAGTGCATCTGTCTGCAGGGTCTTCCCTCTCACGGCGCTGCACACTGAAGTGTTACAGGAGCTTTTAGAGATGTGGGAGCAGAGACCCTTTACAGGGGCTCCCCTGAAGGAGGAATGCTCCTCTGCCACTGTCTGACTAGGAACTGGAGCGGGATGGAGGAGGCAGATGTCAGTGTAGGGACAGCGGGTGCGGGTAGGAGAAGTCTCTGAATGGTCCAGCCCAGGAGGGATGACCGGCATGCTGAACCTGATGGAGAAATGAGCTGCCCCTACCATAGGTGTTGAAATTACACTGGAGGAATAAAAGAGATTTTCTAAGTGGAACTGGGTGTTGAAGGGAACCTCCCGAGGCTGGCCATCCCCTCATGAGGCAAAACCAGAAAGAAGGCTGCCCTGGAGACCCAGGGGAACAGCCATGTGGCACCTGGAGGTGTAGAAACCTGGACAGGACCACCTCAGCCACCTCAAAGCAATGTCATGAATTCGGACTGGACCCCTTCCGAGGGATGGGAATACACTATTAGCTGCAGAGATGTGGGAGCGGTGGCCCCATCCATAACCTGCAGGCCTGAACCCTAGCTCCGCACTCTGAAACAATACCCTCCTTTGTAAAATGGGAAGGACAGAGGTACCAGACAGGGCTATGGTGAAGTCAGCTGAGCTTTGTAACAGAGTGAGAAACTAGTTCTCATGTTTTACAGTACAGGGAGCAGCGGGGAGCGGGATTTGAAGGCTTAGCGTGACTAACAGACTATAAAGTAGTCATTAATGTATTACGTACGGCTGGAAACTGTATCGCTAGGTCCATGTAAGTTTAGAAGTTGGTATCTTCCAGAGAAATGGAAACTTGAATCTATCTGCTCCTTTTTATTATTTTGATTGTGAGTATGTGTGTATCTGTGTGGGTGCACACGTGCCATGGTGAGCACGAGGAGGTCATGCACGTGGAGAGCTCTTTATTGTGAGTTCTCTGGGGGCCAGACTCGGGTTGTTAGACCCGGCAGAAGTGGCCTTTGCCCACTGAGCCATCTTGCCAGCCCCTTAGTTTATTTTTTAATCTTGTGTGTACACACGTGCGAGCACACCCGTGGGTACGTGGGGCTGGAGAAGGGCACTGCATACCCTGCGGCCAGAATTATGGGCAGCTGTGAGGTGCCCGACACGCGTGATGGAAAAGGAGTCCCGGTTCGCTGTAAGGACAACTTGCTCTCTTACCACTAAGCCACCTCTCTAGTCCCTGCCAGTTTCTTTTTACTTTTTTAAAGGTAGGCTACTAGAAATTTTTAAATTACAGGTATGGCACAGGTTCTTTCCACTGGAGAGCAGCAGACGGGAGGGAAGGTAAAGTGGCAGCCAGGCCAGCCGATAAGTCCCAGCTGACTAAGATATGATTGCAGAAAACGGCAAGCGAAGGGGAGGGAAGACAGACCAGAGGCCACTCTGTCCTCCTGCCGGAGTGTAGATAAAGAGAGAAAGCAAGCTAAGAACACGAGGGAAGAGGAGAGCGCAGAGGCCGGAGAGAAGACAGCCAGGGAGGACACGCTATCTAACAGACAACAGACTCTACTCGGTTAATATATATAAGCCTGCCATTATGAAAAGGGCAGTCTGACAAAACGGAGTGCGGTAGCACATGGCTGAGGTCCCGGCGCTTGGAAGGGGAGGCAGGGGCCAAACTTCAAAGCCAGACTGGGGTTTAGGAGCCCTTACCCGAAAACAAACAAACAAACAAACAAAAACTAAACTAAAAACATAAGTAAATATATAAATAAACAAATAATTTTAAAAGTGGCTGCAACATTAAAAAAGCGTAAATATTATTCATAAAGTAGACCTTTTAAATGCTGTTTGTTGAGCCAATCAAACTTAATCACATGATCTTAAATTATTATAATCCTGATGTTAAGTCTGAAGGGGAAAAAAGTTTCCCGAGTATAGGTGTTGGTTCATGACCCAAAAAATTTACTCCTGGGTATTTTTCCCTGCTGTAACTGTAAGTACAAAGATGCTTTGTATAGCTCATAAACTCAAGTAAGAAAAAGGCTTTTCCTATAGGTAAACAGGAATGTAGTGATTGGGTGGAGGTTTGTTTACAGCAAGATGGGTGGAGACTAAGATCAAACTAGAGACACCCTTAACATCAAGAGGATCATGGAGCTCAGAGCTATGGCTCAGCCTGCCCTGTGCTCAGAACGGAGGAGCCTGGAGCCTGCCGGATGGCTCTTCCTGAGGCTATGTAGAGCAGGACCAAGGAGAAACTTATCCTACTATAAAAACAACTCTAGCACCGTCACCTGGAAACAGTTACCTTCATCATTGTTAATTCTAGGACTAGAATAAAATAGCTTTGCCTGGGGATCACCCAAGTGAGCAATAAACCCATAACCCAGTAATCCCACTGCTCAGCACAGAGTCTCAGAAATGCACGCACACTTTGTCAACGATAGGCACTGAGCGGTTACAGGAGCACTCTCTGGGGCAGACAAACACTAGAGGCTGTCTCCACATTCAACAATCGGTCGCAAGTGCACTAAACTCACCCCCACGATCACCATCGGCAGAGACAGAGAGCGTGCTATGACTGCGGGCTTTCAAAAGGAGACACACACTGTAGGTTCCCATTTATGCACGGTGTGGGAGAAGGCAGGCAGGGTTAGTGCCGAGAGCCCGAGACTGCACACAGCAAGGGTCCTGGTTCTGTTCTGTTCCCCGATCTGAAGGTGGCCCAAGTTCAGTACGGAAGTTTGTTCGGCAATTCACTTTAGGTCAGTCTACCTTCCCCAAACCCACACGTTTCTAAAATGTGGTCCTAAGAGAACACGGAGTTCTCTCCTTCCACTGGGTAGGTTCTAAGATTTCACTCAGATCACTGGGCAGCAAGCACCTCTGCCCACAGAGCCATCTCACTGGCTTTATGCATGTATGTGCTTGCGTGTATATGTATTTATATATATATCAAGACGGGGTCTGTACACCCCAGCTGACCTTGAACTCTTGATCCTCCTGCCCAAGTGCTGAGATTAACAAGCCTGCACACCACACGCAGCTGCAAGAACCTATGCTTCATCTGGACAGGAGCAAACCTCGTTTGGTGTCAGCTAGTATCACCCATGAGGCCCTCTCAGTTCCTTTTTCCCCCTCCTCCTTCACACACCCCACCTGTTCCCTCTATGGGAGTGCCTGAGATGGGTTTTTCTTCCAGGAGAGCCCTTGTGCCACCATCCATACCTCCGGCTCCCTCCCACACTGGGCCTGTGAGTCACACCCCCTCTAGTGGATGCCTCTGTTAACTTAGGCCACCCACACCGATCCCCCCATGCTTCTCCATCCTCAGCAGCTGTCATGTATATCCCTAGCTGTTTCTATGCCAAACTTTCCCAGCTAGACAAGCAATGCAGAGCATGCCCTTGGTGGGTGATGACCATCCTCCTCCTGGTTCCACAGGCAGCCCTCCTCCGAAGCTAGAAAGGTGTGCAGGGTGACTCTACTTCCCACATGTCTTCGTTAGGGATTCTGCTGCTGCAACACCGTGACCAAAAGCAACTGGGAAGGAAGTGTTTCATTTCAGCTTACAGTTCCACATCACAAGTCCATCACGGGGGAAATCGGGGCAGGAACTGAAATGGCGCCAACCTGGAGGCAGGAGCTGATGCAGAGGCCATGGAGGAGTACTGCTTACTGGCTTGCTTTACAGCTTGCTCAGCCTGCTTTCTTATAGAACCCAGGACCACCTGCCCAGGGATAGCACCACCCACAATGAGCTGGGCCCTCTCCCATTAGTCACTAACTAAGAAAATGTCTCACAGGCTTGCCTAGAGGACAATGGGGGGGGGGAATCCTTTTCAATTGATGTTCTCACTTCCCCAATGACTCCAGCTTGTAACAAGTTGACATTAAAAACTACCCAGCACACCATTAATGTCCCAAGAGACAACTACTAACTCTTCACTGCTTCGGCCAGCCCAGTAAGGGGCAGAAGAAGTAGAGGAGGCCCAGCAGAGAGCAGGTGTTTCTTCTTGAGTAGCCCCCTAACCATTCACCACTTAACCTATTTTGATGACACGGGACAATCAGCAATATGTGTCACACCGAGTGACTTTTCAGAGTCGGGAGCTTTTAGAATTTCCTGCCAGCCCCCCAGCACTCTGTCTTCCAGAAGCCTCATCATTCCTCATCTTACCCTGTTGAAGTCAGGCATGTTGGCACAGGCCTGTAATCCCAGCACTTCAGCTGCACAGTGAATTCAAGGCCAACCTGAGCTACATGATACCGGGTGTCAAAACCCAAACCAAACCAACCAACCAACAAACCAGCCACTAAAACCCCCCATTCATGTCCTTCATTTCTTTTCAAGTCTCAAGGATACACCATCAACACTAACCAGAACCTCCACCTTACAGAAATGGCACCAACCACACGGCAGACATGGGTGTCAAGGGCCCTGCATTCTGATTGCAGTGCTCTGGAAGTCTGTATTAATTCTCTCTGTCCAAACACTTGGAAGCAGATGATTCCCAGCTCCGCAACTAGAACTGTGAGCCACCCCTCCGAGCTGTTGGGATATGGAATTACATAAATGAAAGCAAAATCTGTCCTGTCTGGTCCTTTCATTCATCACACATAGATCCCTCTGGCCAGCTCCAGCGTGTGTGTGTATCTGCAGGTAGAAGAGGATTTAGTCATAAACCAAGGGAAGGCTTGGCTAGACACCAGAGGGCAGATGAGAGCGAGTCTCCTTCCTCTGTGAGTCTAAAACCCAACACAGCCCTTGGCTGAAGGAACCTGCAACCCATCAGTTCCAGAAAAAGCATAACACATAAAGCCGATTTCCCCCCTTTTAAGTAAATGACACCTAATTTTGCAAAGGCCGTATGTATGAATCAAGATGGAGAGGTATAAAAATTTCATTTCCCAGTCAGTTAATGATTCTGCAGAGTTCTCTTCGACAATAGATTTATTTTAAATGGTTAGAACCACAAATCCAGTGGCCTGGAAGAGACCTCAGCCAACAGTTAAGCTTTCCAGTACAGAGCAGGAGAGCAAGCCCCCCACAGGAGAATCAGTGTCTGCCAAGGTCATCCAGCTGGTGTGGGATAGGGGCAGGAGTTCGCTTCTATTCACTTGGGTCCTACCAAACGTTCTCTTAAAAAACAAACAACAACAACAAAACAAATAAACAAAACAGCGCACAAAGAACGGACCCCCTTGTCAGGTTTAAAAATTTCCAAGGAACCAAAAAGGTCGCCCCAACATATCTTCTCCGCAGGACTGGCCGCAGAGGGGGCGGGAAGGTCACCAGGGAATTTTTACCAGCAGAAATCTACCCGCTTGCATGCACAGGGAAGGCTCGGGAATCACTAGTAACCCTGCAGAGGGTTCCCCAAGCCAGTCACGGGGACACTGAGTCAGTTCAGCTCGGCTGGCTCAGAAGGTTCCAGCAATGAATTAAAAACCCCCGAAGCAAGCGGCGTGGATAAGGGCCACCCCGGCTGGACCTGCCACCCAGGTCAGGTCGTCCTTACCCGCTGCGCCGCTTCCACACCTGCGCCGGCCGCGGGGGGCACCGATCTAAGCGACCCGGGGCCGCGACCCTCCACCCGCGCCCCCCTGCAGGCGCGTCCGGCGTCGCAGGGCTGGGGAGGAGTCGCTGGGCCCCGGGGTAGGAGTGGGCAAAGGCGGACCGCCTCTGCCTGGGTTGCCGGTGTCGGCTCTGCCGACTGGGGGCTGCGCCACGTACCTCGGCAGGCAGGTGCCGCTGCTTGGCTTCGCGGCTTCTGAGGCCGCCGCTCCGCGCCGCCCGCCGCCTCCGTTCGCATGCTAGGGAGGGAGCGCTGGCTAGCCGCCAGCCACCGGCCCCGCGCCCCAGCCCGCCCCCGGCGCCGCGCTCGCGCCCATTCAGCCCCGGACCGTCCGCTCCCCGGCGCGGATGCGGAGAGGGGGCGGGGTCGAGCGTCACGAGGACTGGGGAGGCCAATCACGGCGCGCGGGGCCTCGCCGCGGCCCCGCCTCCAAGCGGGCAGCCCCCTCCGCCCAGGAGAGCGAGGGGGGAGCAGGGCGCCTCCAGCCGGGACGCAGCTTGGGCGCCAGGCGGCCAGGGACACGGGATCCCCCGCGCCTGGGGCTCTCTCCAACTGTCTCTAGGCTTGTCTGCGATTAGATGGTGGAAGGCACCCCGGGAACCAAAGGTGGCTTTGGAACCCTTGTGGGCTTTTGGCTGAGCATCCATTAGTAATCGGGGAACCAGGAGATGAAGGGGCTTGACATAGTCACGTGCTTTATTCGCCAGCCGCCCTCTGATCTTTAGACAGTTACTGGTCCTCGGTCCCTGAGTCCCTCGAGGCGAGCACCAGGACAGACTAGATCAGCGGTTCTCAACCAGGGGTGCCCTAAGACCATCGGAAAACACAGATATTTGCATTGCTATTCGTAAGCAGTATCGAAATTATAGTTATGAAGTAGCGATGGAAATAATTTTATGGCTGGGGTCACCACAACATAAGGAACTATTTTAAAGGGTTGTAGCCTTAGGAAGGGTGAGAACCACTGGACTAGATGAAGTGTCCTCACTAGCCCTGCCAGGATTGCTGTGTTGTACCTAGTGTCACAGTACTAGTTACCCAAGCCGACCTAGTTTTAACAGAAGGGGGAACTGAGGTCCGGGTTGAGGTGGAGGTGAGTAGCTTTTAAGCCACTGGAGGCAGTTAGTGGCACAACCAAGATCAGAACCTGGGCTTGGAGCACTCAAATCTGAAAACTACTGATCCCCTCGCCTCCCATACCTTATTCTGGAAAGGAACTACCATGCAATTCTTAAAAAACACATTTAGTAAATCTCAAATTTGGGGCGTTAAAAACTCTTAAAACTGGACTGTATCTCCCTTTTAGGATATTTCTTCCCATGATCCTCTAGAAAAGCCTACAGGAATGGGATCCAAACCACAAAGTAAATGATATTATAATGAAGCCAAGTTCTTCTGAGGATGTAGACCCTTTGTTAGGGTTCGTGTATAGTGGGAAATGCTCTGGTGCCTTAGTTTTTGTTACGTTGGCACTGCTTGCCTTCTGCCTGGAGAACATTTAACCACAAAGGGGCATTCTGACAGTCTGGAGACACGTCTTCCAAGATACAGCTTCAGTTTTCTTGGTTACTGCAGATCAAACTCCTTTTTGAGGCTGCTCATGGTCCCATGATAATTCTTACAGCTATGTGTCAGCTGGGAAAGCTGAAGCTTTGTAGTGAACGCTAGGGCCAGGGTATTACAACAGCATGTGACGCCGTACAGACAGGAAGAGGACTTGGGCTGGCTTTTAGAACCCCTTTCTCCCAGCTCCCTCGGGCACGGTGTCTATCTTTTAGCAAACAATGCCTCTCTCATTTTGAAGAGCAAGATCCAAGACCCCGAGCCAAGAGCCCTATCATTTTTTCCTTTTCAACAGCTCGAACAGAGCCGCAGGTTTGGGCACATCTTTGTTCTTGCCCCAGGGTGGAGAACAGGGCAGGGATGTGGGGGTGAGGGTCGAAGGGAGCGAATGCTATCTGGGTAGTCAATGCCAAGAATAAAAACAGGAAAGAATAGGGTGGGTGGATTCTGCTTTTATTAGAAATAATAATAATAAATCTGGATGATATTAAAGTGGACACTGGGAATATTCTAGAAGGGGAAAAATGAAAGAAAGCTTGACATGGGACAGTCTAAAGCCAGTGGGTTGGCCAAGGCTGGTCAGACAGAGCCGCTGCCTGGAATGGCGACAGCTGCAGAGAGGATGTGGAGCGCCTGCCTCACTCTCTTTATGCTGGAGACCAGCCTGGGGCCTGCCTGTGTGCTCCAAAGATCCGCTGTCTCCCTGTATGGAGCCCCACCCTGTCAGCAATAACGACTGCCTGGGAGCCGGAAGTACCCTGACTTGCAGCGGTAGGTCTAAGTTGGGGGTGGCGAAGAAAGAGATGTGAGCTCTGCCTCCTGTCTTAGCCCCACAGGACATCTGTTTAAGCATTCAGCTCATCCACCTGGTTCACACTTAATGAAGATAAGATCTGCCCCCCAAAATCCCCAAATAATCTATCAGAATCAGTCACTAGATCTCAAAGATTGACTGACTGGCCTCAGAGAAGCTTCCAGACTCTGATTAGCACACGGTAGGACAACCACTAAATCAAGGACAGCAACTTCAGTTGTGTGTTTACTTTTTCAGTGCTGGAGATCAAATCCAGGGCCTTATGCTGACTAGACCAGCACTCTGCTGACTAGCGCCTGCCACTGAGCTATACCTCCAAGTCTATGTTTATTACTTTTAATGAAGTAATGCATATTCTTTTGGGTTTGGAGGGAAGATGGTGTTGTTTTAGATTTGTTTTTAAACAGGGTCTCACATGGCTAGCCTGGAACTTCGAAGTAAACCAGACGTGTTAAGCCTCCTGAGCCCTAGGCTTAAAGTTATATGCCACCAAATCTGATGTAATAAATATTTTTAAATATCTTCAGTTTTAATTTCTGATTGTGCAACAAGCATGAGGTAAATTCTATATTTAAAAGGTTGTGGGGTTTTTTTTGTTTTGTTTTGTTTTTTGTTTTGGCAGCTGCAGTAATTTCTAGAAATAGAAAGGGTTCCTATCACTGGCCACAGGAACCAGAATTACTTAAAGGAAATCTCCAGCAATGCTTCCATTTCCTGCTAGCTGTGAGTAGCCTCAGAAGACGTGAAAAAGATAGCCAGCCATTTGGATTAGAAGAGCAGACCCGAAGAAGAAAGTAATGCTGTGGGAACACAGAGTACAAAGATTAGAAAGAAAACGTTTCCTTTTTGACATTCTTGAGTTACTGGATTAAAGCAGTTCAGAAGCCCTCCCTGCCTCCATACATTCCAGTTAGATGAGGCTTTGGGCTCCTCTGTGGATTGAACTAACCACCTTCAAGCCCTCCAAGTGGTACTGTGAGTGCTTATTTGTGCATGTTTTGAACTCAACAAGCACCCAAGACCTCAGCTCATTCTCCTAGTACTCCTTCATTCTGCTGTCGTTCAAATGATGTAAGTCAGCTCTGGAATGAGCCAGGAAGGTGAGAGGAAAGGGACGGAGAACAGAAATGGGGTCAGAACAGTGACATACAGGCCTGATAGCGACGCTGTCTCTGTGTGTAACCCTGACTGGCCTGGAACTCACTATGCAGCCCAGGCAGAGGGAAAGCAGGGCCAGAAGGTGCCTCAAACTCTTGGCGATACTCCTGCCTCAAGCTCCCTGGTTGCTAGATTATAGGATCTGCACCACCATAACCAGCATATAACATTTTTTAATTCTCTTTGGCTCTTTCGTATTTTTATTTTACATAAGCACACATTGCTTTTACTGGGAGGAACAAATCAAACATATAGCATTACTTTAAAAAAAAAAAAAACAACAACAACCAAGGGCACACCTTCAGAGTGCAGCTTAGATTGGGATAGGACAAGGGAACTCTCAGGTTACATGTTAGCAGAGAAGAAAGATCTTCTCTGTGGTGCAGATGGGCCCAGAAAACAAACTCCCTTTCACTCACAGCTTTGCCAAGATTCCAGCCATGAACAGGAATGCTCCGGGGATAAGGAATCATTAATTATGCCTGAATCAAATCAGCTGGGATATTTGCAGTTTAAAAAAATAAACACACACACACACACACACACACACACACACACACACACACCCCACAAAAACAGAAACAATGGAGGAAACCAATGTGAAGACTGCATATTAATACTAGAAAATGACTTAAGGAGTATATTTGTGAGAGGCCAGCTCCCACCTTTTCAAGGATTCTTATGATGAGGAGAGAGGGTTAAGAAAATATTAGATAGAAAGATAGTGAAGAGGAGAAAGACAGAAACACAGGATAGCTTCAGGAGGACCAATACCCAACGGCCTTTTCTGTTTATTCAAAAGGGCTTTTTATAACAATGCCAAGGGGCAGGGCAAAAGACCTCCCTTCCCTTGCTAGATCAAAGCACATCTCACAGCCAAGTGTAGACCCTTCCAAACACCTGGTAACCATGCCCGTGGGCAAATCATCCCCTTATGCAGCCCTACTGGATAAAGCAAGCTCAGATTCTTGGACCCTGAGTAAGTTCTCACTTGGAAACCTCTGTGAGTCTCTACATATATATTAAATGATAAATTAAAAAAAAAAAGTCATTGGGCATGTAGCTCAGTTACTAGAATACTTGCCTAGGATGTATGAAGCTGTGACTTCAACCCCAGCATGACATAAAGTAAGGCACGGTGGTACATACCTACCATCCCATCCTTCAGTACTAGGGACATCAGGGTCAACTGAGATCATTTTTGGCTACATATTGAGTTCAAGCCAGCCTGAGATAGAAAGTATCCTGCCTAAAAATAAATGAAGAGGATCTGCTGGGTGTGGCCCACGCCTTTAATCACCACGCAGGCGGATCTCTATTAGTTCAAGGTCAGCCTGGTCTACATAGTCACTCTGTCTCAAAAACAACAAAAAAGACAGACAGACAGACACAGATTGCATGCAGCTAAGTTGGTAGCTAAAACTCAGAGGAGACTGGGGAAATAAAATTAAACACTTGTGAGTGTCAGGGCTCTTGAGTCATGAGTCATCTTTTATTCCCTTCAAAAAAAAATTCTATTTAATGTTGTTATCATGTTGTTTTTACAATAAATAAAAGCTTGGAGAGTCACTGGGACAATTCACTGAGGTCTCAGGCTTCTCCAGATGGCCTGTTTCTTTTTGCCGGCCAAATGGCTTTCTTCCCACAACCAGGACAGAGGCGGGGCTTCCCCTGAGTCGGGCACCTTCTAAGCAGTTAGGACTGTCTCTGGTGTGACCATTCTGTAGGGAGGTAGAGGCAGAGGGAAGAGGGGACAGAACACACCTCAGCCCTGACTGATGGGGTGTGTGATG